GAGCTGGGTGCAGAAATGACAAAACCTGGTGGGAGTAATGATCCAAGGTCATTAATATTTAATTCATAAAACGACACAATTCAAAGTCTTTTGATAGGTATGAGGAATGAAATAGTGCAGGATTATTTAGTCAATTTTATTTTTTTTGTCTCAAATTAATTAACGTCAAGCACTGTTTTACGTTGTAGACTGTTAACTCTGACAGCCTGCTAATACTGCATTAAAAATAACGAGTTTCATTCACTTTTATTAGTCAATTAATTATCGGTGGCAATGCCCGATGGCTCGGTTAGCAAAAGCACTGCCTAGTGTAGAAATTTATTGCAGTCCATGAAAAATATTATAACATTTTAATTACATTACATGGTGGTAGCTTTGGTGCAATTGTACATAGATCTGCTTTTTCAGGATCGTAAACTAAATGGCACAACAATTTATAATCTTGTTTTAAAACTCTATTCTTATAAAGAATTTCCGCAGCAACACATGCTCGCAATACGTCTTACTGAAGTAGCATCTATCTTTGTATCAAAATTTTGGAGTTGAAGATAATTTTTTCTGTAAAGCCAAGAGTATACTTTAGGTACAATAAGGCCAACGCAGGCCCTGGGCATCACTAAGTACAGGCTCGACTATCTATTTTATTATGAAAGTCAGACCATTTTAAACTGGAACAAAATTTCACTTGGCTCAAGGGAACTTTTAGCTAATTCTACCTGCTCACAAAACCTTGCTCTTCAATATTCGAGTGCTTTGCATATGTATAAAGTACTTAAATAAGTCATTAACAAAATTAACTTTATCAGCTTTATTAACTGCAGATCTCAAGGGTGCAGCTAGCTACGAAGTTTTTAAAATGGGCTATAAATATAACATTTATTTATAGCCCAAGACTACTGGAGCTTTAAAAACAAATTATTTTAATGTCTGCTTGCCTTGTACCCTTTCCATCAGCCTAACATTTAAAATGTCTTTAGTGCCCCTTACTCTTACTCTGCTGGGAGCTTGGGTGTAATTCACTGAAAGTGAATCTTAGCAATTGTGAGGTGTTCAGTTTGATCCAACACCCAACATCGTCACCTATCAGAAAGGAACTGGGGGAGGAACAGACAAAAAGAGGTTGATATTACAATCAACCTACATAGGGAACACACAAATATTGATACTGAAAAACGTGTTAATCCACTTATCCTCCTTCCTCGGTTAAATAAGTCTCCAGCTAACCCTGTGCCCTATTTCTACATCACCTCAGTCCAATCAGTACACACAAACCTTTTTTTTACTGACAAGAAAATCCACCTGTTATCTTGTTATCACAGACATCTATCTACTTGCACCTCAGCCTAAATCATTCTCCATTATGCTTTGATTCTTCCTGCATTTATTCAAAGCTAGATTCTACCAACATTGCAACATTTGGGTTTTATCTCAGTCCTGGTCAAATCAACCACTTTATTTTGCTGCTTTTTGTTTTATTGGGAAAGTCAAAACAACAGGGTTGAGATTCAGATAAAAACAATTTGAAAATACAATTTTGATAATAATCTCACCCCTTTGTGAAAATAAACATACCAACCAATCATATGAGGAATTTGCTATATATAGAAAGCAGGAAATTAGAAGCATAGTAGTAATAATAATAATCCTTACATTTGATATAGTGCTTTTCACGTCTTTTAGACATCTCAAAAGTGCTTCACAAAATATACTGTAAAGTGAATTGACTATATTTTGTGGGCAAAATGCGATAGCCAAATAATATAGAATAACATTAAAATCACTTTTTAACACAAAAATAGAAAAGCTAGCAATCCAAAGGAAATCAATTAGCAGAGGAAAGAGAACGAGAAAACGTTTGGTATAAATTATTATGTTTTTTTTCTTATTTGCAGCATCACAGTGTTTTTTCTCATCTTTCATCACATGCTATATACTCTGAAAAAGGCTTTGATGGGAACTGCATCTTTAGCACATTTTGTTTGTCTCCACAGCAACATGAAAATAATTTGAACTATACCTCATAATTAAATTACTTCAACCTGATATTTCATGGAAAAGCATATATTTTATTTGTAACTCTGGACCTCATCAGATGTCAATTTCATTCAAATTCAATGCCACTAGTTACTTCACAGAGTAATCCCTGCCTCCTTAGCTTTTTTGAACAGAGCTGCTTTCACTTCCTTTATCAGCAGGAGATCTCTCTACAGTCCTCTTTCAACTGATATACAGCCACATCCCAGACGCTTGAGTAGGTTCATTACTGTAATTTTTTTTCATCTGCACAGTGCGTGAGCTGAAAGTGTGCAGAACCAGTCAACCCATAGAGACAGAAATTTCCATATACCTGCCAGCCATCTAAGGCTTAAAGGTAAGTAGCATATTAGGTACCATTGGAATCACAACAGTTTAGAAGTTTGCTTTACATCACTGTCAAAATGAATTCTAGTTACAACTGTCAGCTGTCCATCAAACCAGGATGTGCGATACATTTTCTTGGATAGGTACGCTTATGTGAAAAATAGTTAGCCACTGCCTATCACTCCCTTTGGAATATATGCCTCTGTTAGGTCAATTCATAAAGTGTCATTGGTTAGGAAACCTTAAAAAAATCCAAAGCCCATTTACTAATTTGCAAAAGGCCATGAAACATTGAAGAGAGAACATTGAAAAAAAAATCATGTTTTGAGGAAAAATAAGAAGACTTACACTGTGTTTATTCTGCAGTGTGGTGATGTGTACAAGTAAGCCTGGTATATACTTACTGTACAAAACACTGAATCAGTGTAAAATAAAACTTGATTGCAGAGTTTTGCATGTGGGTATTTGTTTTTTATATACTATTAAAGAACTCTTATTGCTGAATTGATCAATATCAGTTCTGAGCGTTTTGAATGGACCACCAGGAAAGTGAACCCAATGGAATTATTACCCACCATGTTGTATCAAGAATGGATCTCAAATACAATTCACTGGCTCAACCTCCATTTATACTATAGGTTTGGCGCAAAATCCTACTGATTCACCATCAAACATGCAATATAAGTGCTGCATTAAAACAAATCAAATGGGATTTTGCACCGGAGTATATTACATTGCATGCTAAAGTAAAACAAAGTATAGCACTCTGCCTGTTGCTCTCACAAGGGGATAGAGAAACAATAGGGACTGGCACCATTTCTGGAAAGCAGCTGACAAATGCTCCATTTAAAGTTGTAATGAAAGGTAATAATATATAATAAAACAGCAACCATCAACAGGTTTTAGTAGTTGGAACACGTATGCCACAGGGAAATACAGCAGTTCTGACAAAAATCCGACTTATAGTCCCACCTTGATTTCACATAAATGAAAACAAAATGAGATGTTGCAAAATTGCCCAATACATTTTGCAGACTTTCAAATGAAACATTTTAACTGTGGCAAGAAGCGACGGTGTCAAATTATGATGTTAAAACCTGTTCACAGATTCTATTAAGGTCTGTACAGGCTCCTCCGGAAGTTAATGACATTACAGATTTGGATTTCTCTTACAGCATTATAAGACCCATAAACTACATAAAGGGTAATTTCTGACTGCAACATATTGTGGAAGATAATTAAGAGAAAATTCAACAGTCTGGTAAATTATTTATAGCAAAAAGATAAGTTTAATTCACCCATGTTTCTTCCTGAGCTTCAAACTGCAAGATAGCAGACATTCAGAACAAAAGATGTGACATGTGAATTCTCAAGGGTACGGTGCTAGAGTATGCAATAAAATGAACTGGATCAAAATCATCTAAAGAACAGGATTCCATTAGTTCAGGTAAAACAGCGAATTACTGCAAACCACCATTATTAAGGTATCTTGTCTCCCTTACACATAAATAGTTTAACTACCATCTGTAGCTGAATGACAGAAGAAATTTCATGCCCAGTTTACATTTTCTTTTAGATCAACGTCTGAAGGAAAATTTCAAAGCTAATAAAATTTATCTGCAGGTTTCAATTGAGCAAAGCACGACAGGAGCCCTTCAACCAGCGCGGATTCATCCTTAACCTAACACCTCTTGAGAGGTAAAGGAGAGCATGAAAAACCATGAACAATTCTGTCTACATTGCATCCAACAGAACAGAAAAGGCCAGATGTAATGGAGTATGTGAAAGGTCCTACTTGCTTGAAATGTGACAACATTTCTATCTAATGATTTCAAATTACCTGTATTGTTTGAAAGACAAAGGTGGGCAAGTTTCCAGCTGTATATCCTGTATGTTAGCCTTTCATTAACAATTGATTTGAATTCAAACTACTTCTTAATTTATACAACGTTGGGTCAATTTGTCCCCGATATATAATTGAGATTTGGTATATAACTTCCTTTGCTACTAAAGTCCTCCAGCATTTCTCAGTGATTTTTTTTATTGACACAATGCTGTGTACAACAATTTTACATTTATATAGCATATTTCACGTCGGGAGGACATTTGTAAACAACTTCACGGAGCCAGCTGGGAGCCGGAGCTGGAGGTCGAGGAGATGAGGAAGGAAGACGTGGGGTAAGATATCAAAATGCGTGATCAAAAAAGTCCTAAAAATACAATGACATGTATTATGAAAGGCAAGCGTTTACGTTACGCTTACCATTGAAATCGAGTCTAACCTTAGAATTTGGAATTTGGAAGTCTGAAAAATATCATTTAGGATCTGTACAGCTTTTTCCTCTTTTACTGTTTATTTATGCTGAAGTGCATCTTCCTACAGTGACTTTGGGTTTGATCATTGGTAGCTTTACTCAACTTTATTCTAATGGAAAAACGGAAAGTACAGATTGAATGTTTCCAAGTTAGGGAAATGTTAAGCACTGAAAATCACAGGACATGGAAACTGTAATAATAGCTTCAATTGCCTCTAAATCCAACTCTGCAAAGTAGAAAGTTGGAGAACAGGAAGGTGAAGTGAACATCGGCCCTTTCAAAATATTAAGGAATGTTTGTGCTTGTTAAAAAAGTCATCTTACCCGAGTATCAGCTGAAAGCAGCTTAAAGGCCTGGTACACCTGGTTCTCCTGCACACCACCACCCAGGTCCAGGAAGTTTGCTGGTTTTCCCCCATGAAGATCAATAATATCACATGTTGCCATGGCAAGGCCAGCTCCATTAACTGTTTACAAAAGACATTCAGAACTCGGTAATCATCCTTGCATTTGTTAAAGTGGCTATAATGTCAAAACACCTCGTGAAAACACTTCACAACCAATTTCTGTCAAGTGTGGTGACTATTTGTAAGCAAATAGGAAAAATGAATGGAAGTACCATGAACACACATTTACTTGAATGAAAATTGATTGAACAGCTTAAAAATGTTTCACACTGCCTCTAAAATGTAACAAAACAGTTTGTTCATAGTGGTATAGTTTATAGCATATTATTTGTGCATAATTTACAAATTAATAAATGTGCACAATAAAGAACAAATTTATATCCAGATATATGGAAACTTTCAGGTTTTTTTTACATATCACTTACAAGAACTGACTCCACAGACTCGTTTCACTTACCAAAGCAAGCAATGTTTCCATCCATCCCAATATATTTGAGGTCATGCTTTGCTGCTTCAGTTTCCATGAGGTCACTTTCCGACGTGTCATCCTGAGAAAAAACATCCCGTTGTCTGAATTGTGCATTGTCATCAAAGTTGATTTTGGCATCAAAGCAAACAACTGAAAGACAAAAAGAGAAATGAGGTCAACAAAAACATTTACAAATTATATAATGAGACTACCTCACAAGTGAGTCAATTAATATGCAGTTATCAGTCAATTTTAGCAGGAATAGCTCTCCAAAAATAACTCAATTTTTTCAGAGGGAAACCAGATTCACCAAAAAATTATGAATAAAACTACACAAAACTATTTTAAATAACAGTTGTGAAAATTAAACATGAAATGTTTGTAAATGTCAGACCTGCTTGGTTGTTAGCCTCTCGCCTCTGAGTCAGAGGTTGTAAGTTCAAGCTGCATGCCAAGTTGTAGCTCATAGGCTATGTAGAACTCAGTACAAGTAATATAGCATTTATTTGCTCAACTTACCTTCAATTCAACAACAACAACTTGCACTTATATAGCGCCCTCAGCACAGGGTAGCATCTCAGAGCACTTAACAGTAGCGGAGCCTGACTCAATTCAGAAGTAAAATGGAATTTAAAAACAGGATGCTGCCATTAATCATTCCTATGAAGCAATAATGAGTAATGTGCCAGAAGTTCCATATCATTCTCATGTTGCTCAGTTCAGCATTCAATTATGAATTAATATCACAAAAATGCTGAGATTTTCAAGGAGAAAACAAAAAGCATACTTTAGATTTTAGAAATTTCTCCCATTTTAATCTTCAAATCTAAGATTGTACATGATTGTAAAAAAAAATCCTGAATTCAGTTGTAATTTAGAAGTCAATTTTGCCAAAGAACTGTTGAAATCAGGCTTCTAAATTAAGACTGAATTTAGGAATTTCAAACAATTTTGCCGGATGTTAAAATCTAAAGACTAAATGGTCTTGCATGTTAAGACTTGGGAAATTTGGGCCTGGTCTTGGATGCAATTACTAACTTTTTCAAACATTTGTTAATCATACATCACTAATTTTATATATATATTTATACATGGCTAATTATATATACATATATATATAGCTAATTATTGTACGGATAGGGTTGACATTTACAGGACTGAATTACTTTCCAGTAACATTTCACAAAAGATAATACATATTGGAAAATTGACAAAAGGTACAATTTACACCAAACTGATCAGAAGAAGGAAAAAAGGTATGATCCTTTATCAGCTTGAAAGAAATGTCATGATCCCATAACAGATAAAAGAAAAATCCCTTTCATAGCTATCTAACCTTACAATTATAGAAAAACAAGTGGAAGGTTACAGGCTGAAAAAACTGACCCTTGGTAGAAGGTACCATGAATTGCAGATTAATCGCACTGCAGAAAATCAGGAGGTGATTGGGCATGGTGGAGAGGAGGTAAAATTAATGGTTGTGTGTATATTTTCGAAAGCTTTTTTTAAAAAGCCAGACAATAAAAAAAACACAGAATCTTTTGGGTAAGTCTTGCTCTCTGTGCATCTGCATGCATGGAAACAGTAATTGGCTATTGCAACAATTGGGAGAGTTCTCCAGAGAGATGTAAGATTAAGGTCCTCGCAAAAAACATGGATTATAAAGACTAAGAGAATATAAATGTCCCCGAATAAAAATGTACTGTTACAGTTTGAAGAATCTGAATTACAGTGTACAGTTTCTGAAACTATACATTGTAATTCAGGTTCTTCAAACTGAAACACAAACATTACATTTTTATAACAAACAAATTAAACATCAATAGTTTTTTTTTGCTAAACTGGCAAAGTTAACAAAATTGCAAGCCTTAATTTGTTTAGAACAATAATAATTGTATAATAAATCAATCGGAAATACTTCTGCAGTGAAATTAGAATATCTAGCAGATAATAACCAACTTTACCTTTTGCCCCCTGTAAACATGTTTTATTATGTCTTTGTTTCAACATTGATTATTGAAATGTTTATGTGTTATTCAATTAAATTATAAGTGCAAACTGACCAGTATAAAACTCCTTGCCTGTAAAACACAATAGAGCTTTAACCTGTCAGTGGTGAAAGACCAGAAGCACTGCATACCAGCTGCCCACACTGCAACTAACACTCCTGGCACCACAAAGTGCTTGGAAATGGAGAAGAGAATGGCCAAAGTGAAGAAGGTGGGAATTGAAAGGTACCAAAGAAATAATGAACTGTGAGCAATTTAGGAACAAAATATGAAGACGACAACAAGACACAAACAGAGATGGTTTAGATGTAGGAAGGAAAAGAATGATAACATGGGAGAAATTTTTAAAAATAAATTAGCAGCTGGAACTAGTTGGGAGATAATGACTCAAAATAGGACACATTCCAATATGAAGCAAAATTTCAACACCAAATTTCAAAAAAAAATCTGATCTTATACATTGCTGTTAAGAGGGGAAAAGGTAGCAGAATTGTGTGCATTTTTATTACTAAAAAATCCTACAGTGTAGCAGATTTATGAATGTAAATTTAATAATAAAGGCAAATTGGGCCATGTAATCAAAACCTATTTTGAATAATTGTTCTAAGTAGCTCGATGAACCAGAATTCTGTGCATCGTGCTACTTATGTTCAGCACCAAGCTACTACAAATAATCCCCAACACCCCATCCCCACTTACATTTCCAGTCAGGCACTAACATTTTTCTGACATGGGGGAAAGAAGGATGGAGAATTCTTTCTAGAAATGCTTCAGTGATGTCTTTGATTAGGGAATGGAAATCATTTAAGATTACTGCAATTTGACCATGTAATTTTTTATTACGGTTTCCACATGGGACGGGAGGGAGGAAGCTTGTTGTGTGAATGTTGTTATTGATTTGAAGAATTGTCAACATTGGCTGCCGCGTTCGCCCACAAATATACAGTCAATTCACTTTGCAGTGTGTTCTGTGAAGCGCTTTGGGACGTCCTCCCGACGTGAAAAGTGCTATATCAAATGCAACGATTATTATTATTATTATTATTATTATCCTCCAAACACCACGCTCTAAGTGTTGGAGCTGGAAGAACCCAGTGGGTGACCTGAAACACTGACGGTCAGAACTGACCTGCCATAGTCAGCAGCACAAGACAAAGAGAAAATCCATAATGCTTGGTTAATGTGTGATGATTGCTTCAGGTCACATTCTGGCAAATCCTATCAGTTGAAAAATTCTTAAAAAGTTGCCCAAAGTACAGCTCTGGAATGAGTTGAGTGCAACTGGTTTGAGGGAGGACGGTGGCGGATGAGAAGAAGATTCTACCTTTAGGATTGTAACAATTAAGAATCCCTTCAGCTAACTGAACTCTCTAACTTTCTACTGAGTCTCGATAACTTTCGATAACTGAGAAAAAAAAACTTTAGGACAGTATGGAGCACTGCACTGTCAGGAAAGCAAAGCAAGTAAAATGAAACAACAGATACAGTATTTAATTCATTAACTTACTAAAGCCACAGAAAATGTTTGTTCACAAAAAAAGTTGTAAATTCAAATGGTGAGTACATTACTAAATTCATACCCCAGGTCGGAATCATAGGGAAGCAGTCTGGGTTAAATTTCTACACACACCATGTAAAGCAGCCTATCAGGTGATGGCATCCAAAGGTAAACGGTTTGTGAAATATTAATACAGCTGACACATGCACTCTAATGGAACTGGATTTTAACCCATGGTCTAAAAGAGATTGCAAATATTCCAGAATAGATAGAATTTCACAGGGTAGCAGATGGATGGGTCTGACAACAAAATAAGTAAACCTTTAAATTGTGAGATTTATTGCTAAATTATTACCATGCACTATTTAGCATGATGCGTAAGGAGGGGAAATGCAGCAAAGGTGAATGTATACATGTATAGGTTTGCACCACAAATATGATAACAGCTCACATTATATGGATACAAGTCCACAGGTCAAGCAAAGTGTGGAGCTATGCATTCAAATTTAATGGGTTGCAAGTTACAACTGAAAGCTCATTTCCGGGTCCACCCCTCAATTTAGAAGTATTATATCAGTGAAGGGAATAGAAAAGAGTTTGACGGAAGATCAACAGAGAGATGCCACAGATGTCACATCTGTCTATCCAGGTAACTACCACACTGACTGACTCTTGGCAGGAAGAAAATATTAAAATGGAAGACTTTCTGGATTCTAGTTAAACGAATGGCAATATATTCCAGAAATTATATTTCTTGCTAACAGAAGGTAGCTTGAGAGAAAGTAAAGGTTGATGTCAGCCGACGTGATAAGGTGCTATATCAAATGCAAGGATTATTATTATTATTTTCCCATTAGCAGCAGATTTTTTATATAATAGCACTGAAACACTATTTTAGAAAGCAGTGGACTTTACACTGTATGGAGGTGTGCTTGACATCAACAGAACCTCAAAGCATGCATTATAATTTGAATGAATATGTCAATTATATTTCAAATGATTACATGAAAGCACTAAACCAAATTTCACATTGAGTTCTAATTATATAATAATCCTGGCATTTAATCTAGCTCCTTTGGAATCGGGGGACGACTCAAAGCACCTTTACAGGAAAGTGTAGTGACTGTGCATTTTGTAGACAATCGATCATTGAAGGAAACGATAAATGGGAGGTTACACTGCATAAAAGGTGATGGTGATAATAAAAACATGACCATTTTATGCTCATTTCTCACCAACTCATCCCAAATATTGCGGAAACAAAATGAAACTTCTAAATTATGCATCTTTTTATGAATTTGGGCAGTAACACTGGTGAGATCACACTCAATCAGAACTGCATGAAACACACCAGCTGACACTGCTGCCAGCTAGACGTTAAAAATTAATAATCAAGTCATTTCTAATAAAGAAAAAAGTTTGGGAATGTCTCCTGGCGCGAAGAGAATTGGCAGAAAAGCTTGTCCAAACGTAAGTAAGTTATGATGAGAGTTGCAACATAGGAAAATATCCAGTATCAAAATGTGCATTGACATGCAAATCATGAAATTTAGTACAGAATGGCATCATTCATATCCATGGTTATCATTTTAATTAGTCTCTGCTTTTATTTTTCCATGTTGCTATTTTCATGTTTATTAGGATTAGTTGTTATAGATTGTTTTCTCTGTTCTGAGACCCAGAAGGCAATTGCCTTCTTGCAGTAAAACAATTTCACAGATAAAATCTGTTAAATGTTATCATATCAATTTTTCCTCCATTTTACGTTCTACTTGAATCCACCTCATTACAGCAAAAAACCTAGAAGCAGATGCACGTGCTCTATATTATTCATGAATAAACTGTCAAATCCAACTACTTAAGCACATTACCAAGGTAATTATTTTTGCATATTAATGAAATTATTTTATATTCTCACAAATATTTTTGAAGTTTCATTTCAGTTTCTGTAATATTTTGCTGGGGTTAGCTAGAGATTTGCAGGAAATCACCTTGCTTATTTTTGCCACCATCTTTTATGCATTATGACCCCACATTTATCATTCACTTTAATGTTGTGCTTCAGAAGTTCAAAGAGCTTTCTGGAAACTGACCATGGTTAGGAAAAGTGGAAGGTGGGGGAAGTGGAAATCAGCAGCCTATGAAAATACTATCTTAGAGCTTGACGAAGATTTGTTTGTCATTCGGCTGAAATCATCTCATCATTGTTCCTACTCGCATTAGTGAACACTTTTTAATCAACACGAGTAATCACAGTTCTTCAATCAAGATTACCTTTACAATAATACAAGTTAACTGTTTATAGAAGGTAGCAATAGACACCACCAGATAGTTTTCAAAATAAAAGTATTGCCTCAAGTCCATATCTTTCATTCTAAAAACAAACTGAGACAACATGAAGGTATTCCATACTTGCTGCCTATCTGACAACGTCAGCTTGCTCAGGTTCAATACAGCATCACAGATCTTCACATATTGAATTTAAAAACAAAACATGGGTTTCAATAATGAATCCTCAATTTTATTTTATATGAACTTCTCCTGAAAGTTCATCATTTTTCTTATACATATTAATTGTGCTTCTTTGAAATTTCACTTTAACAATACATCACAAAGATGGTTTAAGAATGAGTAGACCAATAGATAGCTAAAATAATTGGATTACTGCCATACTTTTCAATTCATTTTACCTTATTTGTATTTGAAAATATTTTTCCTGCTCTAATATGGTGTTCAAATGCAGGCGTTTTAACCTTTAAAAGAAATTGACCAATTAACCTGTAAAATACCACATACATGGTTACATCAAAATTTATCAACACCCTTCAGTAACTTATCTACTGATGTGAAGAATTACCTTTCAAACAGGATTACACATGTAAGATTAGCTCCAAGGGTTTCACTAACGTAATCAATAATTTAATTATTTCTGAGAATTCCTAGACAGCAACACACAGAAATAAGACTGATCAGGATTTAGACTTCGTCAGCATGAAAAATCATAAGGATTTCTCTCTCAACAGAGCAAATCTCCACCCCATACAAAACGAGGTGAAAGGAAACAACTCTTAAAACAGAACACAACAATTCCTTCCTTTCACCTGTCTGAAATGTGCCCCCACAAAGGTTGGAGAATTGGTTACTTTCTTCATTGCACCCTGTAAAGAGAAGAGATTCCAACTAATTGAAACACCATTTTAACCTCCATTGTGTATTGATTTGGTGTACTCATGTTATCCTAATGTAACATGTCAACTACTACCTATTCCAATACTAATTCCCTGGAAATCTTAGTTTTGATCCTTGGTTGACAATTTCAGTAATCATGAGCTTTGTAAATGTTTTGTCGACAGCTAATTTCCGATTTAGCAATTCTACAAGGCACAACTGGTTTTGTAAAAAAACACTGGTTGTCTTTCAACTGTTAAGCGCTCTGAGACACTACCCTGTGTGGAGGGCACTATATAAGTGCAAGTTGTTGTATTATTTTAATAAACATGAGGGAGAATAGAAAAGACAAATTGTAGAGTTTTTTCCATTGTTTATAGAAAAAGAATCTCAGTAACAGGAGAGAAGAGCCATCTTTTTTAAAAAAAATCCTAATTCTGGATTATTCCAATGTTTTCAATGAAAAACACGGCATTGACAAATGCCGACTCTCGGTGATACAGTCTTGTCTTACGATTATAAAGTTAAAAGAGAGTGAGTGGCTAATTTAACTACTCAGGGTGTCTGTCTCCAGCCTATTCAAGCTTGAATATGTAATGCTAGAATTATATTCAGTCAAAGTGAACTATTAGTACATTTGTGGTCACTAATTATTTCTTTTGATGTGTAAACCAAAAACAAAAGGCATGCATCTGTTCCCAGCCTCTTACCTTGTCCATCTGGAGTTTCACCAAAGGGATTGATTTCTACTTGAGTGGCGTCAACTTTCAAAAACAGATTGTACAGTTTCTTAATCTGATCTGCAGCCTGTTTAATAAAATAAACACAATCAGAAAGATATATTGTATAAGAAAGATGCAAAATTGTAATTCTACGCAAAATAATCTCTCACATGTGATTTAATTGCAGTATCTTACAGATCATTCTGTAAGGTTGCCATCAGATTCATTTTTCACTTGTCAACTGAACAGAAGAAATATCCATCACACTGATATATTAAACTATTATATTCAATATATTGCATAAAAACAGATTAATGCAGAAGAAAACAAAATCATTTTGTTCTGCACAAAACACAGCAGCCATTGTAAATCAAAGGTTACACGTATATTTATTCCTAATTCTAACCATGTGCCTGAGTTTTAAATAATGTTCTGAAGATGTCCTTATAAACTCTACATTAGCCACTTTACAAAGGTAGCATGTAGCATGGCATTGCAGTGTTAACATCATTAGATTGTTAATCACAATTTATGAAAACAATCAAATTAATCAGCTCAGAGATGATTTGAGGCTCAGCGTGAGTGAGTATATCTATTACATAATTTCAATTAAGCCACACATCCATTTTGACATTCAACAATACTAGTTTAAATTTTTAATATTATTAAAACTTATTAATTAGAGAACATTGCCTATTTTATAAGGACTTAGAACCATTTTAAGTTTCTATCACTGAACGTTCCCCAGAAACCCCAAGATTTTAATGCTCATCAATCAGGCTTCCTGCTTGGGCGTTGAAGTTTCTTTTGGCAAGCTTATTCTGAATGAGTTGTAGGTTTTTTTTTGAGTGAGTACTGTTTTTTCGAGGAATTGATCTCGTCTGTGCGAGTCATAGAATGGTATCTATTATATGCTGTATGATATTATATGCTGCATAACTATTATATAATCGGAGAGATACGCAGACATTGTGTGAAGGTCTGGAGCCTGATCACAGTGCTCAGCGAGTCTGAGAATAATATTGTTGGCGGCCGCACCACAGACGCCAGGCACCACACCTTGCCGTAAATCCCCTGGGAAGAGCGTCAGACGGTACTGGGGTGTGGCCTCACCCCCACCACCTCCCATAGCAACTGTGGACTGGCTGCTTTACTAGGAGAATGGCAGCAGCAGGTCATGGCAACCGTAAGCGGCAGTCCCTGTATGTGAAAGACAGCTTTTAAAATTATTATTATAAAGTCAGTTTTAAACACTGTCTCTCCTCCGAATCCAGAAAGAAAAATAATGTGAATTTCAATTATTTGTAGTCACACATTCACAAATTATTATTATGCCATTGTTGATGTCAGCTGAGCAGAATTTTTTTTTTGAGGATGCCTCTCTCACGCTCACTTTCTTTGATATCATACCTGCTGCTGTAGTGGCCCTTTAAATCCAAGGTTGGCTGCCATTTGAAGGGCCTGGTCACTTTTCACCCCTTCAAAGATGTCAATAATCTCCTGTGAAATGAAAGTAACAGAATATTTTACAGCAAATCACATCACTGTCAGATTAAAGAAAACAAGTTAAACGCCTCAAAAGAATGGCAATCGGGCAGTTCAATTCTGACAAGTCTGTTCTTCCCGTATATCAAGTCTGTACCAGTTGCCTTTTTAACAAATAAGTATAATTACTCCACAATCTATCTAAAAATCCTTAAACATCAGTCTTTAGTGTGGCACGGTGACAAGACAATATGACACCGACATTCACATTAAATTGCCACACAGATGGTATGAGCAAATTCTTGTGCTGTTATGTTTTAAAAGCTAGGCTAACACCTGCTGCCCACCATCAGTTTAATCCATTGCAGAAATGATAGCTGAATAGCTTCAGTAAAGTTATAGGGTTCAGCATACCTTGAAGATTAGTTCAGGATTAGTGACTGCCACTTCTTCAATGTCCATTCCTCCCTGGGGGCTCCCAACTATTACTGGTCCATTACTGGTTCTGTCCATCATAATGGCTAAATATGTTTCTCTGGCAATATCCAAGGCCTCTGCCACCATCACCTTGATAACACATCAATTAGAAGCAAGTCATTTAGTTTAATAGCCGTATAATTCAGCTATTTATCTTAAAAGGTTGTTTTACTTTGGGGGCTGTGCGTCAATTACTGTATTTTCATTCACGTTTTATTATTGTTTAATCCATGAATATATTTTCAGAAGTTCAATATCAGCATTTACTCAGTTTTTTTTAACAAAAAGAGCCTTATAATATCTAACACTTGAGATAAAGAACCATCGAAAAATCCTTTATTTGTTTATTTTGAAACATCTTTTCCCATTACCTTGTTGACCTTAACACCTTCCTTTGCCGTCTGCTTGGTAATGAGGCTGTACCCAAGCATTTGCTTTGCCAGCTGTGCAACATCATCTGGACTAAAAATACAAAGAAAATGTAGAAATACGAACAAATATGAACAGCCTTTCCGCTTTTACTATACTGTATCTTTGAAAATTATCTGGAAATATGTTGAATGCCATATTTGTAATCCTTTGAGATTAAGATGGAAAACATTTGTTTGTGGGCATCTTGCTCCAGAACCTTACAGCATCAAAATTTTCACAAAATGAAAGGACCAACCATTCTCCAGTCAGCACTGTATAATTGTAATGCTATATTACTACCACTAGAAGTCACATCTGAGCTACAGAACCATTAGAGCTCGCTCTACGGGCAACTATAGGTACTGGGTATCTTAATTTATTCCAGTACTCATATCCCACAAGTTCAACAAACCTTACTTTGCCACTTTCTACCAGGAATAGGTCCTATACTTTGATCCATTAGGATTTTCAAAACCTAGAAACACATGAATATGATAATTTCTGAAACAAATGTTTTTATTAAAAGCAACTGTCATTTTGTGTTTACTTGAATTTCCATTCGAATCAATGTCTCATTTTCAATTCAATTTGTTATTTTCAAATATGCAGAAATAGTTTTGGTGTTCCCTGCAAGATGAAAAAGATTTGGCTTAACATTCTGAACAGGCAATAAACTAATATTTTCATATCTAAATTCTACTATTTATATAGGCCCAATCCTACATAAAATTAAGACCATGAGTACATTTCTGAATGTATTAATTCTTAATTTCCCAGTTACATGTATACGATTTGTCAACTAATAAGATTGATGAACACAACTATATAAAGCTCCATATTTACAAACATGTATTAGCCAGCTGTATTAAAAGACCCCCATCCAGTAAAGGTAGTAATGGTTGTCACTTTTTTAACACGCCCACTAGATGTATTAATTGCTAATCCCATATTGAAAGAGCATATTAACTTGCATTAAGATTTGCATGCCAAATACTACTGTAAGGAATCCCTACATCACATACCTAGTGCATTAAACACGCTTTAACTATTGTTATTTCACACAAAACATTCAGTTTACTAATATTTCCTGAAAAGTAGTACATTTGCACTCAGTGTAACATTGGGAGAGACAATTTTCTTAAAGGAGCATCACATACTGTACTTAAGCTTTTTGGAACAGCAAAATAGTTTATAAAATATTTAACAAGTTCATAAATATATTTGACTACATGGCTGTGAGTTGTGGTTCTGAATAGTAATAGCACTTGTGGCCTCAACAACTACAAGCCCTAAGTTAACCATTGCACCACAGAATCAAGCATGGCTAGAGAGAGAGTTAGAGAGAAGAAAATAATTTTCTCAAGAAAACTTTGAACATACTTTTTGGTTAAATGCACTCCTCCTTTCAATCCACTGGTGAAGTTGCCTTTTCCTCTGCCACCAGCCAGGATCTGAGCTTTTAAAACAATTTCCTTTGCTTCTGTGGGAGAGAAACACAATAACATACTATTTATTGTCCAGCAAATTATTCAGCGGTTGTGGTATTTCTTCACAAATAAAATTCTGCTGTGGAATTCAGATTTTCTTTTTAAAAAATGCACTATTTAATAAGTTAGCAAGCAACCCTTAGAATCTCCTATACATCAACATCTAGCTGAACAGACTGAATACTTCTCTGCTGAGTAAACACAGATCTACTTGATTATTCTTTGACCATTTGAAAGGTACAGGTTAATTATAATTTACAAATATGTTTTTAAATTAATTTAGTATATCACCCACAAAGATTTCAAATCATTGGCTTTAAAAAGGTGAATGCTTTGCGTTTAATACAACAACAAAATTACATTTGTATAGGCCTTTCATGTTGGGAGGACGTCCCAAGGCGCTGTTTAAACTGCTGTCCACAAACTGCATGTTTGAGTATTCCTTGGTTAAGACTAAACACGTAATCTGGCTAGCAGTTTGTAGTCTAGTACAAAACGTGTCAGCTGTCTCCAGTCGCTGCATCAATATAGCCATTGACATTTAAGACTGTGAAAATAAAAATTGTACTGTGTGCAAAAACAAGCTCAAGTGCCACTAAAGGTTCAGAAACCAACAGTATCAATCTTCAATCTCTATTGGCCTACATCATCCCTGGCAACTGAAATCTAAATCCTTTCACCACAAAATAATTCAAGAATGTTAATAGCAGTTAAAAAAATTAATATCCCATAAAACAAATGTCAGCAGCCGTGTAATTTATGGTGTATGAAAGCTACTACTTGTTTCCAATCAAAACCCCATGTAAATTATTTAATTAATAGACATTTCATTTTCTCCATGTCTCTTCTACTGGCTGCTTAGCAATTTTAATATTTTAAAATCCTCCTTTCAAACAAGCAAATACCAGTCCTCCTCGTTCAATACTCCCAAAAATACATCTTACTCTGACTTTTACACAGATTCTATTCTAAGCCATTTAATGTGAAATATTGTCCTCAATCTTTCAGTCTTATGGTTATTTCATACTTTATATATCTGTTAATAAATATCAACTCAATCTTCTTCAAAGAAGAACTGGATAAATATCTCATTAAGAATGGAACTGGAAGTAATAGGGATAAGACGTGTTAAAATAACCAATCCTAAATTTAATGGTGGGATTAGAAAGGTCTGTTAGGGGCAACGAGCCAGGGTTCAATAGTGGATATGTGAAGGACACATGAATAAATAATTATTTGCGAAGGACAGGTTTGCAGGGCTATGGGGAGAGAGCGGGGCAGTGGGATTGATTTGGACAGCTCTTTTCAAAGAGCCGGCACAGGCACGATGGGCTGAATGGCCTCCTTCTGTGCTGTATAATTCTATGATTCTATCAACATAGAATAGAACCATACAGTTTATCTCACTAAAAATAATTACATTTAAAGGGGTTTCAAAAATTTCAGAAAGCCCAGATCCAATCTCTAAAGGTAAAATTCAACATCATTGACAATGGCCTCCTTCTGTGCTGTATAATTCTATGATTCTATAATTGTGTATTGTGTCCAAGATGGCAGAGCACAGCACAAGATTGGTTTGGAAGACGAAGGCCCTTCAGTTTATCTAATCTCATGGTTCCAAACCCACCCTCTGAAAAATTCTGCACCATTTATGCAGGATTTCTCAGGAGAGTGATTAGAAGGCATAGAGTCTACAATCAGATATGTTGTGTATTATCAATGGATAGTCAAGACTTAATGGGCTAATACACTTTTGCATACTATGATCTCACTTCTACAGCTCAATTAGCAATACTCAAGTTTGCTTATTCTTGGATCAACTAAGTAGCAGCATTGAACATATCTGTGGAGGAGTACATCACTTCAAGGCTCTGAATAAGGGAACAATGGCATACCAAAAAATCAACAGTAAATAGAAGATAATTTGTTTTTATGGCTCTACTTTAATCCAGACAAAGAAAAAGCAATTGCTTGGTGAGTAATAAGTCAACTCCCGCTTGGCAAATTCTATCCCATTCATGGAGTATATGTAATTCCTATTTTTGCTTTGTATATTCATCATATTACATTTATCTGTATTGAACTCCATTTGCCAGATCAGCCCAGATATATACTGACAAACTCTTAAGATCTTGGCTGCTTTTCTGATTCCACAGTCCTAACCCCTCCAAGATTGGTGCCAACTGCATATTGAAGTGTCTTGCATTGTGTATGTGATATGGGTATGTAAGAGTACATTACGAAGAGGAAGGATCATAATAATGAAGGAGCTTGAAATATGTTACATGGCAAAGTAATTCCAAGTACAGATCCATCTTGGACGCAATACACAAGAATGTTAAATGCTGCTTATCTCAGCAGGTTCATTAATATTTAAAACCAATGTTAATCCCTAACAGTGACGAATGACAAGCCAACCTAAAAATGCTTCAAATTTAGCTGGTTTTGAGAAAGAATTTAGGACCCATTTGTTTCCCCCGAATTTAGATGATTAATATCTACTTCTTGTTTTGTTTTAACTAAACAGTGGGCTGTTTGCATAGGATAGAATTTAATTTCTCAACAACGTTGCAGTGTGTGTGTGATATGTGTGTGTACATGCATATCACAATTTTTTATATCTCATCATCATAGCAGAGGTTGTCTGTAATTACTGCCACTAAAAACTTTCCTTTTTGTCCTTTTTTTTAAAAAAAAACATCCCTTGTGGTCTGCTGCTTTTACACCAATCTTCATTATCCATTTCAGGCCTTTAACTCTGTGAATATTCAAACCCCCTGGGTTATCCAGGTTAGCCAAAATAATCCAAAAGCTGAAACATCATCTTAATCAATCCTGTGCACTTACTTCAGTGATTTATTTACGGTGTGAACTGGTTTTATGAAACTATTACTTAAGTGAAGCTACTGGACAACTCTAAGGCGCTGCTATATGACAACAAAGATTTTGCTTTATTTCCTCTAAAATCATATGTGAGAAATGTGATATTATAGACAGAATGAAATGAACAATATAATGGACATCTGTCATATGAGTCAATACAGTTGAAGCCTACCTTGGGATCTGCGATTACTCAAACTGTGCAGTGCCTACAGCAAAATGAACAGCTGTTTTCTACGTAATCACTTGTTTATTACTTAACCACTGCAGCAGTTACAGCAGTGAAACATGGTAAAATTGACAAATGCATTATTTGCAATACTACTCATCAGTGACCACTAGGACATACAACATTAAGACCATATTATGAAGAAAAAAAGTTTTAAAATTGACATATTGCATTCCCATGGTCACCTTGTTTAGATTAACGCTCTACCTCTTTTGTTGGGGTTATAATGTAGATATTCTGTTTGTGTTGAGATTTGGTGCAAAATGCTTTATCCCCATTTGTGGTCTAGGGACTGAAATATATTTTAGAGTGGTAAGGACAGTCTTAGCGACACAAAGTCTGTGACCTGGGTGAGTTACTGAAACAAAAAGGCAGGAAAGGATCACGTGGGTCTTGGAGGGGGAATCTACTGATAATAATAATAATAATAATAATCCTTGCATTTGATATAGCGCTTTTCATGTCGGGAGGACGTCCCAAAGCGCTTCACAGAATATACTGTAAAGTGAGTTGACTGTATATTTTGTGGGCGAACGCGGCAGCCAATTGCGCACAGCAATGTCCCACAAACAGTCATAGATTGAAAATGACCAATTTAATTATTGTTTTTGTTTTTTGGAGGGATTATTATTATATACTGATATATTGAAAAGGGAGGAGATTGAAAATGGAGGGAACAAGTATTAATGCGATACATTGAAAAGAGGAGGAGTTAGGATTATATAAAAGTGGGGGGTCCCTGAACTTGGGGGTCGCATTTCACTTTTAGTGTCATCAAGGAGGTATGTGCCTGACCTGAGAGTCTTGTTTCCAGGTCAAGATTGTTTTTTCTTTGTTAACTAATTTGGGGAAAAATTGCTAGTGTCATAGTTTTGTATCAGGTTATTTTCTATTTCTTAATGTTGAAACAGTTATCATGTTCCAGGTAGTGAAAGTTAGGCATAGGGTTAAGGACCAAAAAAACAGTTGAGTTTTCTATATAGTGAGTCTGTGTAAAAATTAAGGAGAGAGGGAGAGACACAGCAGATTATTGCTGAATTCAGCAGCGAAGGACGCTGATGAATGCAGTCCTTTGTTGTGCAATAAGGTATTGGGATTACCTGTTGTCGTGTGCATATTCTCATTAGTGGAGTTTCACTCAAAGAGGGAACTTGCACGAAACAGAGACAGGACTGATATAGAGGCCGTCTAGTACACCGAGAGCTTTGTCATAACCCGGGTATACAACTAGGGGTGAGAAGCCTTGCAGCACTTTCACAAATTATATTCCAGACAATGTTGCAGTATTGTTCTTATTGTGTGGGTTTCTTCATTTTTTGTGAAAGATCAAACTCCATAAACAATGGTTTGTTGTTCATCATCCTTTTTTGGCACGAAGGAGCATTCAGAGTTTGGATTCAAGAACGTATTGCTCATTACAAATTGTTCCGACAGAAGCAATGCTGAAATGGTGCAAACAAGTGCAATATGAATAAAAAGGTTTTCAAAATAATTACAGGATATGCTGAACGCTACCATCCTGTTCACCCCCTCCACTCAGCGGGCTCCGGCCTGCTTCACGTCCCCTGCCTCGCTTGCCCCACTATTGGCGGGTAGGCCTTACGCCACTCTGCCCCCACCCTCTGGAACTCCATCCTGCAATTCCTCCGTCTCGCCCCCTCTCTTGCCACCTTCAAGACCCACCTCAAGACCCTCCTCTTCGACCGTGATTTCGATCTCCCTGCTTCCCCCCCTGCCCTCCATCCTCCCCCGACCCCCAGCTCGAGTCCATAACTCTGTCTGTCCAGCACCTTGGAATGTTCTCCCGACGTGAAAGGCGCTACATAAGTGTAATTTTGTTGTTGTTCTTATATTGCAATGAATAGCACATACTACAGAAGAATC